TTACAGGTAAGGAGTCCCAGGTTGTCACAAAAACAACTGAAAAATCAGTAGATACCATTCGTCTAGCAGACTCGGCGCGGTGCGAGGTATATGTGTGTTTTGAGGGTCCTTTGGGTTCTCACCTTAAACAGGAAGTTAGAGAGAAAATTTGGAAGGGGGATTATGTGGAGATATTTTCACTGTTGCCGCTTGAAACATTTAATCTGGACAGGGTTAAGCCAGACGATTCCAAAAAAGAGGACGAAGAAAAACGTCGTTATCGTCTGATCCCTCGAACCTTCGCAAACTGGCTACAGGCCTTTGCGATTTTAGCTAGCGTTATTGGCGAAAAGACGCCGGAGCACTGCTCTGCTCTTTTCTGCTATTTAGATGCTATAGGGGAGGCCCATAGAGTTTATGGGGGTTTAGCGTGGCTACGTTATGATGAACAGTTTTGCCAGCGCAAATCTGTTCGTCCTTCAATTCTTTTGGACCATAAGGACATCAGCTTATGGATGAAGCTGATGGCCTCTACCAGGTCACCTGCCCCCTTTTTTCAGTCGGCGGCTGGGAATTCCTCTAACGCGGGACAATCGGCCGCCAGAAAAAACGGTTTTTGCTGGCAGTACAATGAAGGAAGTTGCAGGTTTGGAAGTGGTTGCCGCTTCAAACATGAATGTTCCGGTTGTGGAGGGAGTCATGCTTTTAACAAGTGTTTTAAACAAGCCAGGTCCTGTTCTGGTGAGTATGCGGGAAAAAGGGATGACACCGGTGAAAGTGGAAAGGATGCTTCCTTTTCTAAGTAGGTATCCGGACTCAGTCACGGCATCCCTGTTGGAGGCAGGGTTTTTGGAGGGTTTTCGGATTCCATGTTCTTTGTCTGTTATCCCACCTGTTCCAAGTAACTTAAATTCTGCTCTTCAACATCCCCTTATTGTTTCAGAAAAGCTTAGCAAGGAAGTTAGCCTAGGTCGCATGGCAGGTCCGTTTTCTTCTCCTCCTCTGGATAACCTTGTGGTTTCTCCTCTTGGGGTAGTACCTAAAAAAGATCCAAATAAATTTAGATTAATACATCATCTTTCTTACCCTAAAGGTGGTTCCGTGAATGACGCTATCGACCCCGCGGCTTGTACGGTTTCTTACACCTCATTTGATGCGGCGGTCGCTTGGGTCCGGCGCTATGGTAAGGGTTCGCTCATGGCAAAGACAGATATAGAAGCTGCATTTCGGCTGCTGCCTGTTCACCCTGATTGTTTCTATTTGTTAGGCTGCCAGTGGCAGGGCTCATACTTTGTGGACAAGTGTTTGCCGATGGGCTGCTCTATATCATGTGCGCTATTTGAAAAATTCAGTTCCTTTTTAGAGTGGGTAGTCAGGGACATTTCTGGTTTTAATTCTATCATTCATTATCTGGATGATTTTCTTTTTATCGGTCCGCCTGAGTCCAATACGTGCGCTGTCCAACTGGCTACTTTTCAACACATTGCATCTCGCCTGGGTGTTCCCCTTGCCCCAGACAAAACGGAAGGCCCATCCAGCTTGTACGGTGTCTTACACCTCATTTGATGCGGCGGTCGCTTGGGTCCGGCGCTATGGTAAGGGTTTGCTCATGGCAAAGACAGATATAGAAGCTGCTTTTCGGCTGCCGCCTGTTCACCCTGATTGTTTCTATTTGTTAGGCTGCCAGTGGCAGGGCTCATACTTTGTGGACAAGTGTTTGCCGATGGCTGCTCTATATCATGTGTGCTATTTGAAAAATTCAGTTCCTTTTTAGAGTGGGTAGTCAGGGACATTTCTGGTTTTAATTCTATCATTCATTATCTGGATGATTTTCTTTTTATCGGTCCGCCTGAGTCCAATAGGTGCGCTGTCCAACTGGCTACTTTTCAACACATTGCATCTCGCCTGGGTTTTCCCCTTGCCCCAGGCAAAACGGAAGGCCCATCCACTTTAATTTGTTTCTTGGGTATTGTCATAGATACCACTGCTATGGGATGCCGTTTACCGGTAGATAAATTACTAGATCTCCAGGCGGAGATTCAGGCGACCATAGGCAAGAGGAAGTTGCAGTTGCGGCAGTTACAGTCTCTCCTGGGAAAATTGAATTTTGCTTGTAAAATCATCCCGATGGGGAGAGTGTTTTGCCGTAGGTTATCGTCAGCTACAGCTGGTGTCACGGCACCTAGGCATTTCATCAGGTTGACACAGGAGCATCGGGATGACCTGGCGGTTTGGCATTCGTTCCTGACCTTGTTTAATGGAAAATCCTTGTGGATGGATGGTCCGGTGAGTAACGCGGATTTAGAACTATTCACGGATGCTGCTGGTTCCTTGGGCTATGGCACATACTTTCAAGGTTGTTGGAGCGCTGAGCCTTGGCCCAAGGAATGGGCGGATGCGGGGTTATTGCGTAACTTAGTTTTGCTTGAGCTATTTCCCGTGGTGCTGGCTGTCGATATCTGGGCCCCTTTCTTTAGGAACAAAAAGGTACGATTCCATTGTGACAACTTAGGAGTAGTGCAAGCAATTAACAGGGTGTCGGCCTCCTCACCTCCGATGATTAGGTTGTTGCGTTACTTAGTATTGCGTTGCTTGCAGCTCAATGCTTTTATTTATGCCGTATATTTGCCTGGAGCTTCCAATAGCTTAGCAGATGCCTTATCTCGTTTTCAGTGGGACAAGTTCCGAGTGTATTTCCAGTCCTGGCCTCGTGTGGATTTTGGGCCATTCTTATGTCTTTTGGGGTGCAAAACGGGCAGATGTTCGTCCAGACGGCAGGCAGCTGGGCATACCTAGAAACATTGCCGAGGTACGCTGGATAGGCGTGCCAGGTATGTTATGCAGTAGAGTGGTCCCCAAGGTAGGTCCTCCAGGTGGGATAGGGTACCGGATATCTTGCTCCTGCATGTGGCGGGTAACGATCTCGGACTCCGTTCCATGCGGGAGCTTATACGGGACATTAAATTTGATTTCTTGCGCCTCCGGTCATCTTTCCCTCACACCTTGATCGTGTGGTCGGAAATTGTGGCGCGGATTTCTTTGCGTCTGGCCCGGTCAGTCGACCGCTTAAACAAAGCGAGAATCAAGGTTAACAGGGAGGTAGGAAGGTTTGCTGTCAGGAATGGGGGGTTAGTGGTTCGTCACCGGGAATTGGAACAAGAGACCTGGCAATACTTACGAGGTGATGGTGTTCATCTTAACGCCATTGGTACGGATATGTGTTCCCTGGCTCTCCAGGAGGGCATCCACAGAGCATTGGGGGTGTGGAGGGGCGTACAAGTGTGAGGTGTTCCCACTTGTCGCTGTGGCGGATTCTTCAGTAAAGAGGTCTAAGTCTTAGTTCTACAAGGTCTCTGCAGTTTCTCATATTTGTCCCTGAGTCGGTGTGTTGCGGCTAGGGACCAGTGTTTAAGTGGTTTGCAGAGACCGACAATCTCAGTAAAAAGGTGCCTTCACAGACCTCAGATATAGTTAGATATATATATATATATATTGTTATAAGTAAACGTGTTATTTATACACAACCTGTTTCACTTGAAATTTGTAATAAAAGGCTGCTACAGCCATTTTAACTCCAATCTCGAGTGTGGTGTCTTAATTGGGAGGTGGGGATTATTGGAGGGTGGTGGCATAGCAGCATGGGAGTTTGGGTGTAAAATTGTTATGGGACTATGTTCTACCTTGTCATGTGAATACTCATCTCTGCTGGGAGGAAACTGATCGTTTACTGTGTTTAATAATCACTGATGTGAACACTCATCATTGCTGGGAGGAACCCTTACCCGTTGTGCAAAAACACCCACTGTGTGCATTCTTAGACGCATCTACTTGCTTGAACTTCACCCCCATACTCAAGGGTAACCAAGCACCCTTCACCATAGCGGGAAATGATGTGAAGCAGCTCCCTCTCAGCCTCCTCCAAAAACAGGGCAAGTGAGGTGCAGCTGCTGCTCTGATACCCGTACCCTTAACCGCAGTTGTGATCCATATAGCATCATAGCCCAAGTCCGGGGCGATTCTTACAGAACCTGAATCTTTTCACTGCTCGCAGCATTCACTGCACCCCCTTACCCTACAGTTATCTTGCTGAATTTAACCAGAAATGGCCAAAAGGACCAGAACAGAGAAGCAAAACAAAGAACAAAGTTATCTTGCTGTTTGTATTTTTTCAGGCTTGTTTGATGTCCCCTCCTGGTGAATTCTGACCTTCTCAGAGGACACATTTTACAATGCTTCAATGTTTGGGAAGACCTCAGTTCACATCTATGCATTTTAACAAGTAGAAGTATAACTGAAAACGTAATGTCCTGGAATTGTGGGTATGTATTTAAATGATGGGGCCTTACACATTTTAAAGTGATCACGCCAGCACAGGGACATTTGCAATAAAAAGGCATACCTGGCAAGGGGCCAATTTGTTGAAACCCTGCCACCTGCTGCTGCCAGTATTCCACACTTCCTGGTGTGTAAAATACCTGTGGACACTGGCACTTACTACTGTATGTAAATAAAGGTGCTTTGAAATGGTAGGGGAAAAAAGACACAGAAACATAACATGCAAAGTTATTTAAGGCAATTTCTTCTCTAATCCAGGTCAACTCGCTTCTCCTAGCAAGGGCTGGACAGTCTTGTAGCCTTACTGCTTGTTAAAAATGTAAATACTTGAATGTCCATAACCTAGCCACAGGTTAACTAAATCTTATTGTTATTATTAGTATTCATAATGAATATAATAATATGGAATTAATGCTAAAGGAAATTAAACTGAATAGATCACATTATTCTATTTCCTGGACCAAACATTATTATGGATCTAAATAAAAACACATTATATTACTTTTAACAACAATAATCACCATGATCATAATAACAATGCTTGCTTAATGCAGTCATGTACAAACACAAATTACATAATCATATCTCTGGAGCAGTGGAGCAATATTGTGTGTTTTTCACATGACTAACACCCTGTCGAAAAAAATACAGATATTTCATCATAACTATTCTTATATTCAACTTACCTTTTTAACATAATCTCTAATGTTTCCTTTTCTTTTCTGGTTTCTCTGATTTGACTTGTCACCTTTGCCAGGAATTCTTCAAGATTCTCCAGCAAGCGGGGCTCCTCTTTGCTCAATTTGGTCCACAGTTTCCAGATTTCTGTTTCACTGGAACAATCAAGAAGAAATATATTTTCTGTCATTACAATGAGAGCTTGTCGGAGCCGGCGGTGGTATCAAAGCCGGCTCTGCTGAGTTCTCAAGTTACTGAAAGATCAGCGTCCTCTGGTTACCAGGTAACCAGGGAACGCTGAACTGTCAGTACCATGAGAGCTCAGCAGAGTCAGCTTTCATATTACTGCCAGCTCTGCTAAGCTCTCATCGTAATGACAGATGGGCGTCCCTGGTTACCTGGTAACCAGGGACGCCCATCTGTCATTACACACTGAGAACCGTTCGGCCAGCTTCGAATTTCACCTGGGCTCAGTTGAGCCGAAGCATATGCCTTCGGCTCGACTGAGCCCCTCGGCCAACTTCGGGACTCAGCAGCATTCTAGCATTCTAATCTCTAGTGTAAGCATATGGTATATACTCTGAAAGGGGGAGCAGAGTGAGCAGAGCTGCTGGGATGATGCCTATAATTTTTGCTATATTTTATAGCGCTGCAATTCAAGGCTACACTTAATTAAATTAGCTCTGGTGTAAAATGTGCCACATAAAAGTGTTCTGTTGGCATACAAGAAATTGACACAACATATTTTCCTTTGACCAGTATGAAATGACTCTAAAATGTTTAAACTTGACTACCAGATAGTCCCCTAACCAAATTCCACTGGGATTGTATGAACTGCATTTGCCAAACTGTATCATTCTTTTTTCCTATGTAATGGACACTGATAACATTTCCTTCTGCGTCCTCTAGTTAATAATCTTTGTACTGAAATTTTAAATGTAGCTGGCAATATGCAGAAAAAATCCCCATGAGCATATGATCTATCAATTTAGAGGCGGCGGCCTCTAAACAGGCAGATTAGACGACTGCTTCCTCTTCGCTAGGATCTCGGGAGGCCCCCGCGAGCAGCCGTATAATCTGCCTGTTTAGAGGTCACTGCCGCTGCCTGATTGTGACCGGCCCGACTACAGAGGCGATCCGGGAGGTTCTGATCCCCCGTGAGAGCCGCACAGCCTTTCCCCCTCCCCTCCTGAGAGCAAAATAACCTTCCCCACCCCCCCGGGAGCCGCACAGCCCCCCCCAAGAGCCGCACAGCCCCCCATGAGAGATGAGAGACCCCAGGGATGCAGCCCACCTCCCTGCAAAACAGGTAAGCAGGAGAGGGGGCAATGTTTTATTTATTCATTTTTATTAGTAGTTCTATGTGTGTGTTTTAATAAGTGCGTGATGTGTGTGTTTCATTACGTGTGTATGTGTTTTATTAAGTGTATAAATGTTTGAATATGTGTGTTTCCCTATTTTGCCTAAGGCCCCATTCATACTGTGCGTAAAATCCCGCTATTTCGCGCATTATTGCGAGAAGTCACCGGCCAATGTTATTCAATGGAGCTGTTTTAATGTACAGCTCCATGTCGCCCGTTGCTGTGGCTTCAGCAGGACCCTTTTTTCCGCGGATGTCACGCGTTTTTTGTATTTTTGAATGCAGCCCGACGGTGAAGGTCGCACGATCTTTGCTGGAACGTCGCCCCGAACAGTCGCGCTGTCACGGCTCCGCTTGTAAGGTATGTCGCTTGGTGTGAATTGGGGCCTAAGGCAGTGATGTTGAACGTTTCTTAAACCCGAGCGCCCGAACTGCAATACAGTACTAAACTTATTTTCAGCGCTGGCACTTTGAGGTAAATAAATTGATTTTGCGTCGCAGATTGGGCACTTGGGTTCAAAAAGGTTTGCCATCACTGGCCTATACACATACAGCACAGCAATGAAGTAATAAAATGAACTAGGATCACACTAATCCAGCACGTTATTAATCTCACGTGCCCCACTCAATATGGACCCTGCTTGAGTGGGGCAACTCAGAATAATAACGTGCTGGATTACAAATGTATTTACATAGTATAGTAAAATCAAAAATGCTGTTTGCCCCTAGATGTTCCATGAAAGACTTAAATTGCTTCCTTTCTTCTGCGTCTGCTTCCTCCAGTGACGGGAAAGAAGAAAACTCTGTGACCCTCTTTGTAGATTTTCGTTTTCGTTTTTGATTCCATTGATTTTTGCCTGAATGTATGTAGTTTTCTGAAATAGGAAAACAGATTGTAGACACATTGTGGTACCACCAATGAATTATATGAAGATGCCATAATAAATAATACTTCCAGGCAGCATAATTTTATGATCTCATAGATACATGGCTGATGACACTTAATAAGCGTGTCATGATAAAACCTGAAAATGGCTTGTGTGTCATAACTTCAAAAAGATTGGAATATGTAGGAAGACAGCAGATATTAAACAGGCACAATGGTAAAGAAAGGAAAGCAATAAAACATGCTAGGTAGGAATTTTTTAAATGTTGATGCTTCTTCTGTTTCTTTTGTATATTTGTGATCACATGATTAAAGTGGAACTCCAGTTTTTTTGGACCCCCTTAAGGCATCATCCTGCAGCACCCCTCATTTTTAAAAATAAAAAAAAATCCTGCAGTCTTCAGTCTGGTCACATAAGGTCTTTTTACTTCTCTTCTTCATCTGGTAGTGGTGGTCCTGAATCTTGCAGAAGTCTCCTTTGTGCCCAGGGCAGCTTTATGAAGTGCCCAACAGGGGGCATGTCTGGAAGTAAGTTGAATGATGCTAGGCATTATTCATCCCAGAAAATAACCTGCTCTGTCCTCCACAAACTCACCTCTCTGCAATCCAGTGCCAGTTCTTTTCTGGGGAAAATAATGTGCATCGAGTGCTGCATTTTTGTTTAAGCAAGTTGGACTTTCAAGTGGACAAAACAAGGGATAAAACCTATTTATTTTTCTTGCTGAGTTCCCTTTAGGTACATTTAATTTTGCTTATTGTCCTAATGACAGGTTATGTCCTAATGATAGTTATGCAGACATAAAGACGAGAATAAAAACGCTTCCTTGTTCTATCTTAAACAAAGGGTTTAGCTGAAGTTCAGTTGTTAATTTATATGCATATAGATTATTAAAATTCTGGCACCAGCACATTTATCCTTCCATGTTCATCAACTACGTCATTTTAGCACAGTTGCCTAGTGGTTAGTGCTCTTGGATTGTATGGCTGGGATTATGGGTTCAACTCCCATCATGTATATTGTCAGCATGGAGATTGTATATTTTTTCTTTGTTTAGGGGGGTTTCCTACAGGATTCTTTGGTTTCCACCCATGGGTCCAAAACATACTTGTGTTTAGCCAAAAATTAAAAATAGGCTCTCTGAAACGCAAGACAAAAGTCTGATTTACATAACAGATACCATAATAGAAGCTGCCACGTGTTCACAACACTCTCAAAGCACCCTTGCTTATTACAAGGACATGGTATGACAATCATCAATCTGTTGAATATAAGAAATATAAAGTGACACTAAATTCAGGAGTTAAATCTTAAAAATGCATTCAAGTACCTTAACTCCTGACATTTGTGTATCACTCAGCTGTATATCCTCAAATGATCTCTGAATTTTTGCTGACATTGTCCTTCCTTCTGGAGGGTGGCTAGGTCTGTTCCCCATGGTCAATGTGTATGTTGTAAAGTAACCACCGCTCCAAGCTCACTCTCATGATGAACTACAATCTCACATTTACTCTACAAATTTGTATTGAGATTGTAGTCCATCACGGGAGTGAGCTTGGAGTGGTGGATACTTTACAATACACACAGGGACCATGGGGAACAAAGGTAACCACCCTCCAGAAGGAAGGACAGTGTCAACATCAATTCAGAAATGATTAGAGGATCTACAGCTGAGTGAAGCACAAGTAAGCTAAATTTTTGTTAATAGTTAAGATACTTGAATGCATTTTTAAGATTTTAATTCTGGGTTTACTGTCACTTTAAGAACCCGCAGTAAAGTTTGCATGAACCATGGCAATGCAGATAGTTCACCTTGGGTACATTTATTTTCTTCAACAGATCTGGAGTTTCATTTTCAACTCCTGAAAAGTTAGTTGACAGCATCTCTCCTCTTCTGATGCTTTGTTTTGGAGTAAAAAATACTTCATGTATCTAAATAATAATTTTTTATGGCAGTAACAAAAAAACAAAAGAGCTGAGTAGAAATCTTGAAACCACTTTGCTCATTTCCTTTGTTATGATGCATCACTTAACATCTAAGCTAATACGCAAGATGCGGACAATAGGAAAAGTCTGTAATCCTGTAGATGAAAGCATCCTTTGTGTTTTCACTTTTAAGAAAATGATTGATGTCCACAGAACAGAACTCTGTATTAAACTATACTGCCATTAGAAAAAAAATGTTGACAATCTTCACTGATGATGAGTTTATAGGTACAAACTGTGGTCTCATATCCTGCATGCTAAAAGTAACAGTTGAAGTCTTATTATCACTAGGGCTGGTCATGATTAAAATTTTCCTGTTCGATTAATAAAAAAATGTTTAATCGATTAATCGACTAATTTCGATTAATTATAACGCACATTCAGATCTCGCAAACTCTAGAGCCGCCTCTGCCCACCGGTGACCCTTAGCGCTGCACATTCACTCACCAGCCTGGTGAGACCCCTCAGAGCTCTGGTGAGACCCCACAGAGCCCTGGTTAAAGTAGGGTTCAGTGGGGTCTCACCAGGGCTCTTTGGGGGTCTCACTTGGGCACTGTGGGGTCTCACCAGCCTGCTTAAACCCCACAGAGCCCTGGTGAGACCCTACCAAGCCCTGCTTTAACCAGGGCTCTGTAGGGTCTCACCAGAGCTATGTGGGGGTCTCACCAGCCTGGTTAGACCCCTCAGAGCCCTGGTGAGATCCCACACTGCCCTGGTTAAACCCGGGCTTTGTAGGGTCTCACCAGCACCAGGGCTCCGTAGGGTCTCACACGGGGCTCTATGGGGTCCCACCATGGCTATGTGCGATTTCACCAGCCTGGTGAGACCCCTCAGGGCCCTGGCAAGACCCCACAGAGCCCTGGCAAGATCCCACAGAGCCCTGGTCTCACCAGGGCTCCATGGGGTCTCACCATGGCTTTGTGGGGTCTCACCAGGGCTCATAGGGGGTCTCACCACACTCCGGGGGGAAACACCTTCACCCCCTTCTCTTTCCTAGGAAGCCGGTTTGGGGGGGGGGCTTTACATTTGGTTCTGCCCTCTGCGGTTAGAATGAGTCACACTTTAATTATCACTTTAATAACTCCTTCATGGCACACCCAGCGTTACATGCGATGACTCACCGGCCCAAGAGTGAGGAGGAGACTCAGCCCAAGTGATTCCGTCAGGTAACGAAGGGAAGGGGGAGGAGTCTATGTCCGTGACGTCACCGGACTCCTCCCTCCTTCCCTTCGTTACCCATCACGGACAACTACATCACCCGACTCCTCCCCCCTTCCCTTCGTTAGCCGACAGAGCCACTCGGGGAGGGGGGGGAGTCCGGTGACGTCGGTGTCCGTGACGTCACTGGATCTCCGACGGAAGACCCGGAAGCCGGCGGAGAGGTGAGAACGGATCAAAATAAGTCAAGGCAACTGGACTTGCTGTATTTTACTCCGTAGGGTCTCACCAAGGCTTTATGGGGTCCCACCAGGGCTATGTGCGATTTCACCAGCCTGGTAGGGGGGGAGTCCGGTGACGTCACCGGATCTCCGACGGAAGACCCGGAAGCCGGCGGAGAGGTGAGTACGGATCAAAAGAACTTTGATCGATCAAAATAATTTTGATCGATCAAAGAAATTAACAATTAATCGACGGATTAATCGTTAATTTCCGCACCCCTAATTATCACATATCATACCAATGTTTGATTTTTATAAAAATAAGTCAAGGCAACTGGACTTGCTGTATTTTTCTTGAAGACGTTTCACTGGTCATCCAACCAGCTTTCTCAATTCAGAATGACGTGTACAAAAATTATCTGGGAATAAATATGGTGAATGTTGCTACAATCCACATAATCGATTAGTCGCAACCAGGTGTTGATTGCATTTGCATAATCAGAGCTAGGAGGTGTTAATAACCTGCCTAGAGGGAGGATTTAAAACAGCATTGTATGTGGCAGACAATAGATGTCTCACCTCCCCCCACCTCTATTCAAGCTTGGCTTCTCCATTTTTACATAAATGGCCTCTTTCACACCTCTTTTAAACAAGTCCTCCTCCCTGTCTAGGAAGCGTATTTGACTGTCTTCAAAAGAGTGACCCTTTTCTTTTAGATGTAGGTATACTGCCGAATCCTGACCAGAGGGTTTGTCTCTTCTATGCTGTGCCATACGCTGGTGTAACTGCTGTTTGTTTCACCGACATACAATTCTGAGCACTCCTCACTGCACTGAACTGCATACACAATGTTGTTCAAGTTGGTGGTCTTACCTGATCTGTGCGCACACAGCATTCCTGGCTCATCGGCTGGGCCTACTGAAGTCAGATTCTCAATGTCCCTGTCCAATTATTGTTCGCTATCTCAACTACGTGGATAAAACAGGGAAATGTACGGCCTCTTGCAATCTTCAAGCGCTCACTGTTTATGGCCACCAATTATTGATTTTCGTGGATTACTCGGCAGAAGCCAGCCGTAGATGTTGAGCTTTCGCAGATGTCTGCAAATCCCTCTACCAACAGGGTATTTGATTCTCACTGGCACATCTAGCCAGTCTGCACCTCCAGTCTCCGGAGGGTGAGAAACGAATCTTTTCTTCTCCAAGAGAGGCCACCAACTTCCTTGAATCTCTGGATTCTGCCTCACGAGAACAGCGCACTCAATCAGGGGACAAGAGAATGCATCTCTCACCTGCTAAACCGGTGTCTACTTCCAGCCGAGAACTACTCCCGACATGATTTTAATTTCTTCAATCTCTGAAGCGCAATTGTCTACATTTGTTTTTGCTTCTACCTTTAGTGTATTTTTGTCTGGAGAACTGGCCTTCCACACATCCTTTTCAAGGGCAAGATCATATGACTAACCTTATTTGTTTGATCTGAATTGTATCCATTATCTTTATCAGACACTACCATGGTCCCCTGTTGAGCATGGCGATTTGATTGTGTATTTAGTGGTGAGAAAAAAGGAAATAATGAACAATGTGTTTAACCTTTCTGTTTGATTTCCCTAGTTTTCCATTGTTGTTATTCTTTCCTGCTTTTTTAGGTTCTCAGGTGATCTGCAGCCTCGCCTCTTTCTTGCTATATGCACCCATAATCAGCTATTGTTTCTCTGCTTCATTTGTACATCGTCTACACTCTGGGACAGGTATTTTGAGTGGCTACAAAACTATTTTACTTTTAGGTATAACCTCTTTTCAATGTCCTCTCCATGCAAGGGATGTCAATCTTTAAAGTAATATCCTGGAATGTTCGGTCAGCATGGTCTGAGTGAGTATCTAAAGAACAAAAGTGGCTTGGTTGATTCGCCCATCCTCCACTGGGAGGCTGGTAATGCCTTCCTAAGAGGTAGAATCATCTTTTTGTACATGGTAACTCCAAAAAGACTCTGGATGAATTCAAGTGAGCGAGTGGGATACTGAGACAGACTTTTTTAGACTTTAAGGAATGTCCATCCACTACCTCCAAAGAGCACTGGCTGAAGGCCAAGGTGGAATATGAAGCTAGATTAGAGAAATATGAGTTGTATACTAAATCTTTATGGGATTTACAATT